CAGTAAATGGAATAAACGGTCAGAATTCTGACATCAGAGATCTAATTTTCAACACACCATTCCACTTCAGAAGACAATGTGAGACTGAAGAGAACACACAAATGTATCGAAACTAGTTTTGCTGATATCAGACCTCTGACAGTTTGTTCCATTTACTGTGGTTTTTTCACTAAATGCCAGACACGATATTGTGTTCTTTTATTATCAATATGCCTAATAGGACACACTCTGAAACTAGAGCAACAGTTAATTATATAACTCTTTCTAACATAACATATCTGAAAGAGTAAGTATAAGCAATTTTGAGGAACAATCCAACTATTTTATATTGTGTGACATTATAGTTGATAATATTCAATAAAAGTGCATATCTGTCTGAAAAGCATAACTTCATTATTATCATTACATTTTCATATCTCATAGTCAGATTCATTTATATTATTTAATGTTTATAAGAAAACATTATAACAATTTATGTTTGACAGTATATATAAATGCTTTATAAATTAGTGTATTGCTAAGCAATAAAGAAATTACTCAGCAAACTCCTTGAACACTATGGACTCCTAAATAGACAGGTCATGATTTGGTGGACTCCACAACATCCAACATTAAATTTGACTTATGGTATATATATATATAAATAAATGGTTTCTTATGTAGAATTTATATTGAATGACAAAAATAAAATGATATGCATAAATTAATGTATTTTTAGCTGTGGCATAGCAGCTCACAGAATGGCTCTGAGGTTTTTTCAAGTATACACTTTCAGCTCGCAGCTCTGTCATCTCTTGACCGATTAGAGATCTAAACACAGTTTTGAACTCAGGAGTCAAACCATTTTGAATGATGTATTTGAGGTCTCATAGATGAATTAACTCTAATCCTGCCTAAAAGAATTTCAATTTAAAGGTAGGCTGATAGAGATCCTGATGAGTAATAAAAATGAATTGGGTATATGTGTGCCTCAACCTTGGTATTGCTGGCACACAGAAATATAACCAATAAAAAGAAAAAAAAAAGTCTCATTGATTAATTTACTCTAATCCTGCCTAAAAGAATTTCAGGTGACATGGTTATTGAGGATTCGTTCTTGTTTATTTTAAGATAATATCTCATTTGATTGTATTTAAGAGCATAAAAATTTTCAAAAATAAAATAATCTATGTATGGTTTGCTTCCATAAGTCAGTGTTCACTTCACAGCTCATCAATACAAAAAGTTACCCTGATCTCAAGCACTACCCTTAAAAGCTCAAAAGCTTTGAACTTGATATTGTGGTATTCCAAGGTACACTTGACAAAAACGTCAGTAAATTAAGCACCACAATAATTGGAGGTTCTTAGGAAATGCATGCAGAAATTGAATAAGTCAAACTTAACTGAAAGGAGAGAGAGAGGCTGAAAAAATGAAGAAAATATTTTATTATCAAAATATAAGACAATGGCATGAAGTGTCTGGCGAATAACCTATTAATTAATTAATTCAAAAATACAATATCAGCAACTTTTACAGTAGGAAAACTAATTTTAATTATTACAGCATTTTGATCCATAGTATTAGGTCATCATTAGGTAACACATTCAGTGTAACAGAGACAGAGAAATTTGCACTAGTTTTGACTATGAGCAACTTTATAAGTGGAGGATTAAGCACAGATACATAGTGAACATCTATACAAAGGCAGCCTGTACTAAAATTTGAAGAATTTATTTAATATACTGACTAAAATGCACTGATTTTTTATTTTACAAAAGGGATACATCCATAATATTTGCATGATACAATACTGTTGTTATACTTTATTAAAATTCAAATGCCAAAACAAACAAACAGTTCTTTATTGTATTTATTACAGTAACCTTATCTATTAAATCAAATAATTTATACTTACTGAATTAGGTCATCCAACAGCATTGTTATATATATGTCTTTATTTTCAGATTGTTATATTGACCAGATACCAAAATACCTTCAACTCCTTTTTGAAAAAACTGTTTAAAGGTAGCATTTTAAGGGGGCCAAGCATGACTCAGTGGTTAGCATGCTGGATTGTGGATTTGAGGTTTTATGGCCCTTACCAGAAAATAAAAATTTTGCTCTGCACTTTGGGACTATGGTTGTGTTATAAAAATGACAGTTAAATCTCACTAATCATCTGATAAGAGTAGCCCAAAAGTTGGTGGTGGGTGTTATTGACTAGCTATTTTACCTCTAGCCTATCACCACAAAATTAATGATGCTGAGCACATACAGCTCTCCTGTAACTTTACTCAACATTCCACAAAACTTTTAAGAATATTTCAAAGCCAGAAAAAAAATGTCTGTACTATATAATATAAGAATTAAAGGTGTACATCTTATCTGAAGCATGCATGATAATTAGAAAATTCATTATAAATTAGTGCTACTTAAGAAAATCAATTAACAATTAACTTGTAGGTGTTTCACTTGTTTATTTCTTAAATTGTCATATCATATTTTCTTTTAAATTTTATTATCCCTTTCAGTAAAGATGTTAAGAATTGTTTGGAAATGTTATTATGAGTTTTAAGTTAATAAAAAGTACTAACATATACAAGGCTAATAATTATATTAATATCCATAGCCAACAGAAATATGACTTATTACCCTAGGATTTGGTGAAATTTTATCAAAAACAGTTGAAGCAAATACTACAATAAGCACTGAAAGTGTGCAATCTTTTTTTCATTGTAGGTGAAAATATTTTTAACTGGATGTTTTTCATGGAGAAATGAGAGGGATTTGTAACTAAGTATTTTGAGTAATTAAGATTTTCAGAACTCTGAAAGCAAAAATGTATAACTGATTATAATGATTTAAAACAGACAAGGAAAATACAAGTTTTGTCTGACTGCCTATTGGAAAATTATATTATAAGTTTAATGTAATGTTTTTTCATAGTATTAAAAAAACCCTTATTGGTACTAGAGCCATCAATTCAAACTTACAACCTTCTAATCACTAAAAACAATCATTGAGTTAGAGTACTCTCACAAATACTCCTATACACAATATTTTAAAAGAGTAAAGTAGAAGCTCTATGGTAAAGAAAAATTATCTTGAATAGTGTAAGAAACTAGAAATTTAGCTAACCTTCATGCTTGGCTTCAGGAGTTTTCTCTTTTCTTTGCTCTGAGCTTGCTGAACGAGCAGAGGGCCTACAAAATGCAACAACTTATAAGAAGAGAAACAACTGAAGAAGTTTCTACTTTTTATCTTATTTAATAAAAACAAAGCTATAATATACTTCCATGACATCTAAAATAATGTATTCTGGATAAAATGAATTTTCATGGTTTACAGGTAGACAATCAGATAATAATCTGTATTAAAGCTGGCACACCAACACATTAAATGGTGCAAGAAAAGATCAAATAATATCATCTTACTCTTTTTTAAGCTATAATGCTTGAAACTAGATTCTGTTGGGAATTAGTTCATATACAGGTTATGTATGTTTGCTATTAGGTGAATGCGAGTCAAAGGGAAGAAAGAACTATAACATCACTGTATTTTGTTGTTATTAGTACAGTTAAAATAAACACAATACATTTACCTAAAAATCACCTCTACTCACAAATAGCTTTTCTCCACCAATAGGAGTGCAACACAACCCTAATCATCACTAGCACCCTCTCTTCTGTGCAGCCCATAATCACTTCAAGATTGGATAGTACATACAAAACCTACACCAGAAGTGGGGAGGTCGGGTGGGAAAGGTAAGAGGTATTTATTGGAAATACATTTTGTGTAGGAAAATGTTAACTTCCAATACAATATCTTACATATATAGCTAAATTCCACACTGAGTTGATGGAGGATCCACTGAGAAAATGATCTTCCCTTTAGAAAGTTCCCAAAGCAAGACTATGGGGTATTCGAATAGACAGAAGGCAACATCCCCATGGGAAACTGCACCACTTCTGAGCCAGGTATACTCTTCACCCATGTGAAAATGTGTTGAAATAATGGCAAAATCACAGGAGGGACCCCCTCCATCATTATGGTTGTGCATATCCAACACAACCATCACCATATCTGCTGGAAACCAACATCCGGGGGATGGTAGGTAGATGGACAGCAAAGTGAGGGTGCATCTTTTGTCCATCACCAGGCAGCATTGGGAATGTATTGTCCCATCCACAGTAGGAGGAGGGTACCTGGCCACACACATGTGAGGACTTATGTGGCTGATCCAGATCCAGCAATCACCATATCCACTGGGAACCAACATCAAGGGGATGGTAGGAAGGAGGATGCCTCAGCCAGAGGGGCAAACTGCATGTTGGCAGAATACATCTTCCATCACCTGACAGCATTTGGAATTGTACATCAGGTCCATGGGTAGATGAACGTCAATGCAATCTACACCAGTAGAACACCACTGACCTACTCTCAACTGAGGGAGATTGAACACACTCAGGAGGAATCCTCATGGCCCACCACTCCAGCAGCTAGGATCTGGTAAGTTGCAAGAACTCCCATACTCCACTACAAGAAGGAGGACACAGTGTGTTAGAGAGTGAAGAGGAATGCTGCACTGGAGACAGTGCAATGGGTTACTGCAACACCTTACTTTGAAAAGCAGACCTATTCATTGACCTACCATACAGGGTTGGACAGCAATCCCTGTCTACTTTACACATATTAGTCCACGCGTGTACGGTCCAGGACGAACATCTTTATGAAGCAAAATACCATGAGGAATATCTGCAGTAGAAAAAAAGAACACTTATTTTACCCACTCTTAAAGAAATTTTAGAGGAAAAAATGGTACCAAGAGGAAGAAAAAACCCTTTAGAACAGGAAACGGCCAGGTGATGAAGAAAATGATCAGTGAAGATATGGAGAGTGATCCACATTCTGTCACAAATGATGTCCTCCAATGAATGTCAGAAATGAGCATCCTGGGACATAGTAAGGTGATGGATTTGATGTCAAGAGACATGGAACAGACAACAAACAGCTGGTGAAAGGGAAGAATAAGCCAGTCAAAGAAGCTGGCAAATCCAACCTGTAAGGGGAATAGGAGAAAGGTCACAGGACTGGAGGGATTCCAAGGAAAAACAAATGGGAACAACAGAAGGAAGCACTGCATGCCACATAACAGTAGAGAGCCCTGATCTGACAGAGAAGGCAAGCACGGTTAGAACAGTCATAAAGGTGTAACATGGAAGGAAGGGAGATAGGTGTGAAGATGGAATTATCCTCCCAAGCAACCAAAGTTTTGGGTAGGAAAGAACAATCAAAGAAAAAGACCACATAGGAACAGTGAAATAAGGTGTGGTGGGTATTAATAGTGAACATGTCCATTCGATGACATCTGCTCACCAACAGGAGAAAGAAAAGGATCTGAGGAGAGGAGAGAAAAGGTTGACAAAGGCTAGAATGCAGGAAGGGTAAAGGCATGGAAGACAATACTGAGGATCCAATCAGGGAGAGAGGCAAGGTGAAGGGAAAAGGTGAGTCAGAGTGAATGAAACAACATAGAAAGGACAGGTAAATGGAAGACATGGGCATATAATGTACAAAGAAACGTGCCTGAAAATAACACAACACATAGAGGCCTGGATGATGGAAAGGATATGAGGAAGCAGATGGATGGAAGGGTAGGTATACAAATAGAGGCCCATCCAAGCCTGAGAGAGAGCATCTACCACTCCAGCCAATGGATGTGGAACAGGAGACCAAACTGAGGGAGCTGGGAATTGAGATAAGTGGCAAAGGCACCACAAATGGAACATCTCATTGGGAACAAAGCCATCGAAACACCATTGGGTCCAGTGACCAATCCATATGGAGAATCCTGTCAGGATGAGGTAAGCAATCTGTGACTAGATTCAGGATACCTTGAATATGACAAGCCATCAAAGGAATAGGATGACCTTAGGCCCAATACAGGAGGTTCAGTGTCTGCAAACAGAGGTCGCTCGACTGAGTCTCCCCTTGCCTGAAGATGGACAAGACCACAGTCAAGTTGTCAGAATGCACCATCACTGACAAGCTCTGAATAGCCAGAAGGAAGTGAACCAAATCTGACAACCAATGATTGATATATAGAGAGAACTCTGATAGAGTCCACTGCCCTGAGAGAGGCATCCAAGGGATCCATAATGAGGCTCCACTTGTTCAACAAAACCCACTAAAGGTGATGCATGTGGGCACAACCAATAGGGATGACGGCTTCCAGGGAAGTCCACATCCCCCAAAAGAGAGAGAGAACCGCTTGTATAGTGGGAGAAGGAGAAGAGAAGAGGCTATAAACTAGAAGCTTCATAGCCTTCAGCTAAATGGAAGAAGGTTGGGCCCAACTGAATAGGGAATTGAATAACACCCCAAGATGAACTAGGTATTGTGTGGGGGTGAGGAAAGACTTTTCCATCTTCACCAACCAACTAACCCAACCCACTTCTCTTAGGAGAAATTGAGTACGAAGAGCAGAGTTCACCTGTGAGAAAGCTAGAAGTAGCCAGATTTCCATGTAATGGTGGAAATGGAGACCCCAGGAATGAAGAAAATGAAACAATGTGACTTCATTACTATCTTGCTTAGGTACATTTACTTATATATCTGTGTCAAACTTGTAAGACTGACTATCATTACTGGCAAAGAAAAATAAAAGGCAACTGAAGGCTTTTTTTATTTAATATTAACAGTCAAGCTTTAGTATTCCTTTGTACATGGTATCAATTCTCCTGTTACCATGTTTAAGCTGTTTGATAATACACTTTGATACCCACTATCGTTTGCATTGTTTTGCAATTGGGGAGGGCTAGTTTCTTCACGGCTTTTCTGAATATCGAGTTCAAAAAACATTAAATCTGGGCCTCCACCTAAAAAATAGTTATTTCAAGCCCTGGTTGTGCTCCTTTTGTAGTGAATTGGAACTAGATTCCTCCTAGTACATCAGGTGACTGGGAAGTGGCAAACTGAAGATGTGAACAATGGACTACAAGATACTTAAATACATTTGTGAAACCATTAATTTATGCATAAAAAACTTCTTCATTTTAGTAAATTGATGTATAAACTTAACTCTATTCCTTGTGATATCTAACAAAGCAGAATAAAATGTATTCACAAAAATGCCTAACAACAAGCATAATATGGTTGGCTCAATACATAAGCATATTTGTACTCGCTACATCCATTAAAATTACTAGCTACAGTTAAATAAATGATATAATATATGCAACTACCTTTGTTAAAGTTAACAGTAAAAGAGAAATTCAAATAAATATGATTATAATGTCGAAAAAGAAAATGAACTAGGTTTATAAATAGCTAGAGCTAACAAACTGATTTATAGCCTAAACACTAAGAGAATTATTTTTGTCTATTCTCTGTAGTTGCAAAATAACACTGCCAAAGGCTGTTTATGTAATAAGTAAACACAAAAACTATGGGAAAAACACTATTTAATTTGTTGCAAGTTAGATATCCTAATTAAATGATAAATTTAATTGTACAAATTATAAATTGCCAATAAATCTGTGTTTATCCAGCATTCACCCAAGATTCATCCAAACAAAAAATAATGTGACTGGTGAGAAATAACTCTTCTGCTATATAACATAGTTCATTGTTTCATAAAAGAAAAGTATAGAAAATCTCCAAATTGCACACAAGCAAAATTAAGCTACAGCTTCATCACAAAAAACTTCATTTGATACAATGACTACATTAAATATTCACTAATATTTTTACGAGTAACCAATAGATAAAAGTCATATTTCTGCAGTCCTTTGATGCTAAAAATACTGGGCACATCTCTTTAAAAATGCTAGCAACAAAGTTCACTTACTGTTCACTTGAATACACACATTGTGATTACTCAAATTGAATCAAGAATTCTTTCCTCAAGTAGAGCAAGGAATACTTTTTTGTATATAACTTTTTTGACATGGTGCTATTTGAATACAATGGGACGAGAAGCACTTAAATGGAATAACAACTCAGTTGATAGGCCTTTGCTTAAGCTTACATGTACAGATCAGGGGTGTTACCAAGATTCTTTTGGAGGAGATTTATCATTTCTCAAATCAATAACACATATACGCCTAAGAAAGCTGTGAGAATCGGTAGTGGTCCAGTACATGGTTCATAGTAAGGTTCATGTTAGGTTGAAGCAACATAACAACAAATGAAAGGTTATAAATATAAAATTGCAATGCCACAACCACGAATTTTCACAATTTACATAGATTCTTTGTTTATTTCATTGCACATTGTAAGACATTATACCTATACATCATGTGATGAGTTTGTTTACAGTGACATGTACTTTCTGACTTCCTTTTGGATGTTTTCATACAGGGAGTACTATAACTCAACATCAAAACTGTTAAGAAAAGTTATGAGACATAGTCAATATTCACCTTGAGGTGGCAATCAGGACATAGGTAGGAAGAAGACTTTCATCTTCAACAGATTTTCTTGTAATCATAGTAGACTGGTCTCCATAAAAAGGTCTTCCCTGGGATCGGACACGGTACTCACCTGCCTTCTTTATTCGTTCCACAACTTCAGAGTACCAGGGGTTAGCTTCATCTAAAGGCTTTCCTTCCACGTCCTGTTGAAACAAAACGAAAATATTATTCTTTAGCAGTAATTTTCATAAGAAAAGAAAAATGTTTTGAAGTTATTAGTAAAATAATTATCTATATATATTCAAGTTCAATTACAAAAGAATTTTTTTACCCTTAATTTCTCAGTTTTTTTCCAACTGCCATCCACATAAACATAAGCTGAGAATGGTTGAAATTTCGATTTATATTCTGTCTTCTTGCCCATAATTGTTCTAAATGAACAAAAATAAAAAAATATTTATAATCTGATCACAGAAAAGAACTAGCATATCATGTTACCCTTTCTTTACAATTATCAGCTAAAGCCATCACTGTCCAAGCAATTGACCAAAAAAACTACATTGCTTGTAAATGTTTTTCTGAAAATTATTTTTAATCCCCTTTGTTTAAAATTGATATGCTTACATTTCTTCCATTCTTCATATAAAGATGTATTCAGAACAGTACTGTATCTTGGATATCAAACTCATTCTATACCAAAACAGTCAATAAAACTGGACACCACCAGCCTGTCGTGATGAGTCTAAGTTCATAAACCTCTAATTTAAAATTACTTATGCCTTGAAAAACTAATGTACTGTAAGTGCAGTTCAAGAAAGAATAAAATAAGAAACCTAAAAATTTTCTGACTACCTTTATTGCTAGCTATGTACAATACTTGATCATTTATACTAAAAACTTCTTCAATCCAGTAACTTTTCAACTTAGATTAAACATTATCAACTTCCTGCAGTTGAAACCTAAGAATATCATAAGATTATGTACATAATTGTGTTTATGTATATGTTTGAGTGCTTTGAGTTAACAACTTCTCCCTTAAGATAACTTAAAATTATTTCAAGTTATGAATATGATACTTATATAGTTCTTGCACAGTGTTGTATACAAAAAACCATATAACATCTTCTGATAAGGACTATATATTTATTAATATGGAACTTTGAAGATAAAAAAATGAAGTTTAAAATTCGAGTTATTGGACCCTTAAAGTGTGGAATATTTTGACCAATTTACAAACTTACATTTGTCTAAATTGCTATCATAAAGATGGTCACTTATAATGTTATCTTATATGCATTATTTGATGTTTGTAAATAATAATTTTACAGATTAGGGAGGAACAGAAAAGTGTTCACTGGACATCTTTCCAGAAATGAAACAATCCTAAATTTTTAACACTTTGTTTAATTGTCAATAAGCTCAAAGCTACACCCACCAGATTTACCACTGAGCTACTGGGGGCATTTTAATGCAAGTGTTAGTTAAGAAGTATCTCAAAGTGCAGAAACATATGAATTTATAACCTTAGGAACCTTTTCAACCAGCTTTACATACATTTATCATTAGCAAGAACATTATGAAATAAATTTAATAAAAACTAATAAAATTTACATTTAACTTGAAAAATACACAATCAACTGTAACAGATGGTGCATTATAATAAAATTCACATTTAAGTGGCAACCACAAAATTGTCCTTGAGCAAATGCATTTTTATATACATGTATTTTTCATTATTTACATACAGAGAATACTATAATATCATACAGAGAATACTATAATTCAACATCACTACCTTATGATCAGTCAGTCTCATACAAACACAGATGAAGTTGTAACCTTAAAAAATTATCTGTTCCACCATTTAAGAACACTGTTGTTGACATTTTTGCACAAAATGCAGTATTAAAGTAATATATACCTATGGGCAGGACAGGTATTACCTCCTAGAAATTGCAAATAAAGGCAGCTAGAATGAGATGAACTTAACGTCTTTCTCGACCATGTGTTGTACTTATACAGAGCAAAGGACAAATTCAGAACAAAAATTGTTATAATGCAAGAAGATAGAAATACATGGTGTATTTACATATGGTAATGTTACTATTCAAAACAGAATTGTAATAATTTTCAAGCAGCAAAATATTATATATTTTGAAACCTAGCATAAGACCATCAGTCACTCTGTGTAACTACTAAATACGCTGTTTCCTACAAAGTGAGTAACACTGAATTTAAACAATATGGTCCACAATCTTGAAAGGTAAGTAGTCTGAAGGAAGATCCAAAGAAAGTTCCAGTCAAGTATCCAAATGAAATGCATACATACTGTGTTTGTATTTAGTGTTTAAATAAAGATTGTTCATTTTGTACTTTGCTTTGTGTCTAGTCTATTTATTTCATTCTTACAACTCAGTTATTTAAAGATTCAGAATTATTCTGAAATAAATATCCTGATTAAATTTCCCATTACTCTTAAGTAAAACCGCTTTGACATAAACATACCACACAATGGATAGGAAGGAGAAAATGTTTGTGCTTTACCAAGGGATATGTAATTGTAAGTTTTCTTTTCTTGCTGCTGTGTGTATTGCCCTTAATCTGACCTCTTGTGCTACTAAGTTTAAAAAGGCTTCTTAGATTGGAAATGGCATTTAATACAACTAGAAAGATTTTTGACCAAGGAGAGCCAGTTATTGAAGGAATATGATTGTCTAAAAAAGTTGTCCTCTCCTGGATGTCAGATTTTCACTAATAAATCATGAAGAAGAGCACTGATGTCTGATGGCCACAGAATGATTGACCATGCTTTTCATCTGTTGATCAATCTCAGTGCAAGGGAATTACAGATGACTGAGGATCATTGTGGTAGTATGGCATCTGGCAAGTCAAAGACCAAATGGGGCAGTCTGTATGAGACCCTTAGACTTATGTCAGCCAGAGTAACCCAACCATAGCTGTGAATAAAGCCACCCAGGAATATCAGAGAAACAGGAGGTGCTGTTAATGAAATACATCAACAAACCAGAGTTATCTCACCAGCAAGAGAATGGAGAAGAAAATAAATAATGGGGCAGTGTGTCAGGTTCTTTGTATGGGCCAGATTCTTTACAGTAGGTGTCTGTGACTTGTTGGTGATAAATTTCAACAATACACAAACAACATACAATCCACTTGTTTTAAAATAATATATTAAAACAAGTCAAACATGTGTACAAATGTTTGTTACACTGTTGGTTATCACAGTTGTATCCAGAGATTTAATTAATTGTATTTTTTTGTTGTCAATTTCCACACAGACTGGTTCAATTACTTTAGAAAATAATTTGACAAGACGAATTATTCTTCCTGCTTTGTTATTACAATATAGTCTGTAATAATGTCACTTTCAACTCACCACTATAACTGTTGGTTACCACAGTTGTATCCAGAGATTTAAATAATTGTCTTCTTATTGTCAAAGTCCACGCAGGCTGGTTCACTTATTTTAGAACACAATTTGACAAGAAAAATTATTCTTACAACTCTGTTATTACGATACAGTGAAAATTTCACTTTTGAAATCGCCACTATATGCTCTTTGTGGCTAAACTCCAAATCACACAGTCTAGGTCTAACTATCTCGAACTACATTTTTAACATGTATCTATACCCTGATAGAGGTCTAGAACATTCCACATGCTACTAGATATTGTGATGCACAAACACTCAATTAAAACAATGAGAAAAACTCAGAAGGTTCTAGTAACCTGATGCAATAATATAAAAATCACCAATTCATGACTATTAAACTGCACAATGTATGATTCATAAACAGTTATGAAAACAAACTTACAATAAACTATTGCTTCTAAAAATAACTAAATTTAGCACTCGGATAGATAAACTATCTAAATCATAACTCCCACATTAAATTTAATTTGAAACAATCATGTAAATCTATTGCAGTAAGTCTCTCTGAGCCAGGAGGCATACTACTGAGACAGCTATGGATCATAGAGGATCCTGGGTTCATATGCAACCAATGAACACACTTTGAAGTGCACCTTTTACATTTTGTCGACCGAGATTAGATCAGGGGCCTAATACTCGTCAGGGTGTTGGTGACCCTGAGAATGTTTACAATGCTGTACCTATGATGCCAAGGATATCTCAGCCAGGTGATGGCTGGGAAGATATTGTTACGTCTCCGTTTGTTAATTAATTTTCGTAACTTCGTTCTGACGAAACTTTAGCGACACAAGT